AAATATTTTTTATCCTACTGGCAATGTTTCGGGGATACACAACCTTTGGCATCTTTTTTATTTAAGCATTATTAATATTAATTTATTGCTACAATGCTATTACTGTTCTATTTTATTAAAAATTGTATTCTTTGTTAAGAATAGACGTAGTAGAATCAACGTATGTAGAATTTTTGTTTTATAAAATACTACATACGTTGATTCATTATTAAACAGTGTTAATTACAATTGATAACAAAAATAAAGTCTATTTTTAATCGATAGGGATGAATAACAAGTCAGATCACCAGTTTCATTGTATCAGCATGCTGGTGCATTGTAGTGGGATACACGCGGCTGTTTCCTCCCGTTAGGGCAAAAGTTAGACTGTGCAGCTCTTACCTTTTGAGTTTAAGAAATTTTCGGGATGGACTGGCTTAGAGCTTAGGTTGAGGACATCAAACGTCTTCGAAAAGTTACGGAAGAATGTATTCCTTCACAGTTCACCCAAAGAGAGACACACGAAGACACATACAAGAACACGTACACATGCCACTAATATATACCTTCTTTTTTTATACAAGTTTTTCTTTTAATTGCTGTACCAACTCCTATTACAGTATGTCCCGTTCTAGATCTCAGGGAAAGGGTGAATGGCTGAAAACCAGTGTTGAGCAAGGCTTACAAGGCTAAACCAATAAAAAGCTGTGCCACTGCCTTTTGCTTCAGACTTCTATATAATTTTTTTTACATTGTTTTTATATCGTTATTGAGGCAACAAATCTTTTTATTATTATTATTAGTAACAATTAGTCTGTTTTTGTATAGGCAAGACACGTATAACAGCGTACATGATGTGGGCGAAGGAAGCCCGCAACGAGCTGCTGCGAAAACACCCTGACATGGACTTCTCTGCGATCTCGAAACGCCTTGGAGAGATGTGGTCTAATGTGAGTTTTTGTTGTAATAAATCAGATTGTACCTTATACGAGGAGAGGTTAAGAAGTTCATGGAATAACAGGGACAGGAGGCAAGATTAATGTCGACTCATCCGAAGAACAGAGTCCGATGTGACTATACAACGAAAAGAGAATAAATATATAATCTCGTTATTCAAAATAAGGTTTAGCTACATAGGGCGCACTATAAGTTTCCGGAGCTGGCCACTTACATAAACAATATTTAAAAAGTAATTACAACATTTGAAACTGGAACTGTTTGGCTGTAGAATACAGTTTGTTTCATCTGACTGTCACTGATTTTTACATCGTGGCGTCATTTTAGGAATTGGTTATCTACATCACCATGGATTTAACTCGTGAACATTTTCATAGTATGATTTTCTACGTATTTAAGTGTAATCTAACAGCCAGCGGAGCTTCGCTCGGCTTCAAACTGCTTTTGGCGATGAAGCACCATGCGAGACGACTATTTATAGCTGGTTTGCAGAATTCAAACGCGGTCGTGTGAATGTCAGTGACGAATTTCGTAATGGTCGCCCGTCCACTCCAGTGCTGTGAACAACAAAAACATCGATACTGTGCGCCGTATAATCAAAACAGACAGGCATGTGACATACCATGAGAATCGAGCACCTTTAGGCTAGGCATGAGTCAAATACAATCAAACGTTTGGGCGTGAAAAAGCTGTGCTTTCGGTGGATAGCACACAATTTGACCGAGGCTGAAAAAACGGATCGCGTCACTTGGTGCAATGCCATGCTTACCAGGTTCAACGAAGGGGCGTCAAATTTGATGTGGGACATAGTAAGGTGACGAAACATGGATTTATAGTTACGATCCCAAAACAAAGCAGCAATCGAGCGTATGGTTCTTTCGAGATGAGGCGAAACCAACCAAAGTGGCGCGCGTGCAAAGTGCCTCTAAGCGGATGATTGCTTTGATTCTTTAATAAAAGAAGAAAGAAATCTCTTTCTTCTTTTAATAAAACTGGACACGTGGTTACTGTTGTTTTGGAGAACCGTTGTACCAATGTACACGACCATTTGTTTGCCGGAAGTTATTGACAAACTCCGTAAAAATAACCGTAAACGCCGTATCATCTTGCACCACGGTAATGCCAGTTCTCACACGGCCAGACAGACAAATGAATTTTTGAAGGTGAACGACGTTGCCCTTATGAGCCATCCCGCGTACGGTCCCGACCTGGCACCTTGTGACTTTTGTTTATTTCCAAAAATTAAGAACCAGTTATGCAGTCAATCATTTTCATCATCTGAAGAAGCTGTCGAAGAGTATGAAACATATGTTTCAGAGATTGTCACGGACGAGTGGCATAAACGTTTTCAAAATTGGTTCATTTGTATGAAAAAGTGCATTAACGCTAACTGAGAATATTTTGAGAAACAATAAATTAATTTCTGACCATTTATAGTATTTTTTCTTATTCATTCCGTAAACTTATAGGGCGCCACACGTATAGGTGTTTTCAGAATTTTATATATTATTTCGTTTCGGAAATATAAAATCGATCAACTGTCGATGTAATGTCCACAGCTAAGAAAGCGAACGAAATGTACAATGTCCTGAGAATAAGCAGTCTTGCACATAAGTCTTTGTACTACAGACGAGTTGATGTAGTTATTACTTTTCCTTTTCAATATATTCTTCCCCTGACAGTCAGGCTCAATGTACATTGCCGCGGAATTGAATTTATATGAGTGTTTATTTCTTCGACAAAAAAAAGAGCTTTTGAGGCATTGACTTACAAATAAATGGACGACGAGTCAAATACAAAAACCACGAAAAAAAATGTCCCAAGTCAACCTATTCGAAATTTAAATTGTAATGTCATCGCAGTATCGCGCTGTCAGTCGAACAAATGAAGACTAAAGCGGAGTTTGGCGCTCTGTATACGATTTTAGCGCCTTACAAGTGCGGACACTTTTTAGCGCGGACCCGACGTCCATATAATTGTAAGTCAATGTTTTGAGGGCTAAAATTACTCACTTCTCTATAGGTATTTTTTTCAAGTTCTTTTTTTTATTTTGGAAAGAAATAATATTCAAAAGAGAGCAGAATTCGAAACTACGTGTGTGCCATACCAGGGCACAGATGCGGTTTTCATTCCTCCTGTCAGGAAGAAGGAATTTTTCTTTTTATTCGACTTTACAAGTGGAGTAATTTTACAATAAAAATTAAATAAAAAATACTCTTTATTCACTGATTACTTCTAAATTAATTCTAAGTCTAACCTAATGCTTACTTCTAACAGTAGTAATTCTTAATTCTAACATCAGCATCGGTTCTGGTTCTAATCAGGTTGTCCTCTGACATAGGCCTCGTCCATATTTCTCCATAAGCAACGGTCTTGTGCCGACCGGCGCCATTTCCGGGGCAGATCGTCTTCCCACCTTCCATCCACACCAGTGCCAGTTCAGTCTTTTGATTTTCATTGTGACATCTGTCACCTTGGTTGCCTTCCCAATTCTGGAGAATCTTCATTTGTCTCTCAGCTTGATGTGTAACATGCTTCTCTCCATCCCTTAAGCATATATTGCATACGCTCAATTAATTTCACAAACAATAAAATAAATACCGTCATATTCATATTCATCAAATCAATATTTAATCAATAGGTCATATTCAATAAAAATCAATATTTAATTATATTTGTTTCTTTTTAGGTAAACTACAATGAAAGATATCTATGGAAGCGTAAAGCTAAGCGGTTTGCGATGCAAAAAGAACAGAGTAATCAGGGGTCTTCCAACAAGATAATTTCTAATCAGAGTGAGTACTTAACGTTTAAAAGAAATGTACTTCCGGACATATAATTCGAGGTGAGGAGAATATTTTTAACACAGTTCTGTATATGAGAGTAATTAGAAATACGTAAATAATAACTAATATAATGTAAAATATGTAAAAACTGAAACTACAAAAACTCGCCATTTTTTGTTTCATCGTGTTCGCGTCGATGATTAAACGACAAGGATAGCTTATACACGCGGTTCCATATCGTTATCCTTGTTCCTTAAAATGTTCATTACCAAATAAACAAAAGAACGAATGACTCTAGGGCGGTATATTACCTATTCAGTATTCGCAATGTAAGAAATAAATTTTCTAAACGGGAACAATAGTTTTATCAACTAAAATAAATATTGTCACGGGAGGGTTTATCACACATATTCTGCCATGCTACGGCCACCGATTTGTCTGTGAATATATTAACTGTAATATATTTTGTAGCGGTGGTGGACTTGTGGGAGAATCGTTGCTTCTTTTGGGATACCTGCATGTCGATTCAAAAACTTACGATAACTGTTGTCGATCGATTCGATTAGATATCGTACTTTTTACGATTACGATTTGTACGATTTCTTTTCATTTTTCAACTGCCTCCATGGCCGAACGGTTACCATGCCTGCCACGCAGAGGTCCCAGGTTCGAATCCCGGGCCGGGAGAAATATTTGTATGACCTACATTTCTGTCTCCCTTGAGTTTGGGTGTAATTTGTGGTTGTCTATGTGGGTTTCCCTAGTGCGAGGCTATGTTGACTGCGTGCGTTATTATTATATATGACCCGAAATGACGTCACACCCGTACGATTACTCGAACTTCTCGACCGGCAAAGGCTACAAACGTTACTCAGAACACAGTTATCGAATGAAGGTTACCGAACGTCCTATTGTTTACAAAGCAAGAATGTAATATGGAATCTTTTATTATTTTAAATAAAATCTGGATTTTGTTCAAGTTTATTAATTTATTTTAATGCGAGACTAATGGATTCCTATATAGGCCTTTAAAGTCTTGAAAATGTATATAAAGGGATTTCATTTTCCTTACAATCTATATTCGCCGACTAACTCTGTAAACGTTGTTGGATAACGATTTCGTATCCGTATCCGAAACGAACCTTTTAACTCGAATGTTCTGAATAGCTCAGGAAGCGCCCTTCGAGTCGAAAACGATATCCAATATAACGATTCGGGTAAAATACCGAAGAGTTCTCAATCGGGGTCCTGGTGGTACCGCTCGCGCTCTTTATATGGTTAAGAAGAAACAATGACATGAACTTTCAGTTCCCCGCCCGCTCCCCTCGGCTGGTCCAGGCCGCCCCCCGCGCGCCCCTCCCAAGACACCTTTGCCTGCAGCACCGGCTACGCAGGCGCTGGTCGTAAGTACCCTTACAATTACTAATTTTCTTCAAATCTCACTGCCAAAAAAGTTGTTTTGGAGACGAAATCTGCTAAAATTATGGTGAACTAAAGATGAGTCAGGGCACTTTTTATAAGTAAATACAAGACAACATCGCAACGTATGTACGTTGCTCTGATCCCAAAGTAAGTAACTGAAGCACTTGTGTTATGGAAATGGGATAGAACGAAGGTACCAATATAAAGCCAACAGAAAGCTGTAAACCCCATTTTAAGAAATTAAATATACTAACACTACCATCGTTATACATCCTACAAATGATTAAATTTATAAGGAACCATAAACACGTATTCCCAAATGAAAATAAGCCAATAACTCTACGACCCAGACACAGGATACCGGTTCCACCTTCAAAATTAAAAATGCACAGTTCTGGCCCCCATTTTATGTGCATAAAAATTTACAATAAGGTCCCAAAATGTATAAAAAATGAAACTAACAACAACATTTTTGATAAAAAAATTACAAATTATTTAATAGATAAATGTTTTTACACGTTGCAAGAGTTTTTTGACAGCAGTGACAACTGTCTTGTAAATGTTGTTGACATTATCAATAATTAAGATTGTTTAAACAATATTTTCCCTATAGTATAACTGTGTTAATTTCAATTATTTTTTACTATTAACTATTTTGATATTTTGTATAAATCATTTAACTTTTATAGAATATTGATTTGAATTGTATATCGTAAGTGAAAAAATTTGCGGTGCCCCTCAGGGTGACATGGTTGAACTATATTTAAGAACTGTATTACCCATGTTATGCAAATAATAAATGAATTATGAATTATGAATTTACCACAAGCACTCAGATCGAAACAATATAGAAAAGTTAGTTTTTCTATCTATGTATACATATGTATACATAGATGATGTTCAGTTTTGAACCGATTTCAGAAAAAGGAGGAGGTTGTCAATTCGACTATGTGTTTTTTCTTTTGCATATTTGTGAACCGATTTTGATGATTATTATAACGCTCCCTTGTAAACTTGGCAATTTCAACACACGATACTTTACTTAGGAGGGGTCGAAATGTTAGTAGCTATGTTAGGCAGGACAAACAAATTATAATCTTATGTTATTGCTAGTTATATAATCACAAAGGATATAAAAATTTGTGGGTTTGGGAATGAATGAGGGGAGGATATCGTACAAAGAGACGGGGTAATTGTGACAAACGAAAAAAATGTGATCCGGAGTTTCGTCCAGCCCGCATTCGCATTTTTATAAAAACCATTCTATGTGACATGGTCAACGTTCAAACGGTGAATGGTATTAAAATAAAAAAAGGATGCGAAATTTAAACAAAGGCTGGTAATAAATTATTCAAACGGCAACGCACCGATTTGTTTCTATCGATAATGGACATGCGCTGTATGCATCACTAAGCAGGTGAGAAAGAAACCGCAATATCGGTGTCACGTTTTCGACCTAAGAAATGCGCAAAATGTACATTCTTACTGAAACTATCTATATAAAAAAGATTTCTATTTTCTTTCATTATGTGATAAGATATTGATTTCATTGATTTTGTGACATTTATTAACAAAATAATCAATCTTCATGAAAACAATCAATCTCTCTAGCTTAATCGTTGTGGAATTTTATCAAAGTTATATTTTAAGTTGAGCTGCTTTTTCGGCTTACAGTCTGTTTCTTGAAGGTTTGTAAATTATTCCAGCGTGCCTTTAGGGTCATGTCACGACTGGAACATCAGCAATAAATATCAGCATCGACGAATGCAGGTGCTGATACCGGAAAATATCCGATTTTAATTTATGTTGATTCTCTATGTAAGATACGTTTCATGCTGCACTGGTTCTCGATCCAGCAGTTACGGTGAATTGATTAATACGGACCCTAGTATACTGCCCTCCTTATCGTAACTGACGTAATCGACTTTTTTAGCGAAATTGAGTTATAAACATATCTGGAATCAGCGAAACGAGATCTACAGACCCCTATAGGCGGTTTTTAATATCTTATTTAGTTTCCGTTTTATTTTTAAGCAAAATCAAAGTAATTAAAATTTTTTTTGGTTACAATAAAACTTAGGACCTGTAAAGGGCCCGAAACGTCGGTTTGTTTGAAAAACAAATATACGCGATTTAAATCCGGAAAAATAGTTTAAATTCCTATGTGTAACAATCGCGAAAACCTAAGAACTCGATAATAAAACTAAGTGCCAACATTTCGAAAATTATCGAGATACAAATACGTTACTTATGACAAGGAGGGCAGTGTAGTGTTACTTGGTACTTGGTGTAACGGGCTGGTGTCCGTAACTCGACGTCAAGACCCCTATTTTGCGTGTGGTGGGTGCAGGGTCCTACTCGTGCCACCCAAGCTCCTCCAGGAATCTCAGCAGCCTCCTCGGTTTGCTGAAGACTTCGGGGAGCGACCTTGGCACGCCAAGGTACTTTGCCCTGTAGTTGGCCACGCCGGAGCACTGTAGTAGGATGTGCGCAGCCGTTTCCTCCCCCTCCATGCACGCTCTACATAGAGGGCTGTCTGTGATACCTAAATTGAAAAGGTGTTTATTGTATGGACCATGACCTGTTAGGGCGGCAGTCAGAGTGCGAAGCTCTTGCCTGTTGAGTTTAATTAATATTCGTGATAGACAGTGTAGTGTTATTGTGTAATGTCTGCAGCCAGTATCGTCTTCATCAACTACAACCACCGGCACCGGCGTCTACCGTGTGTCTGGCTGCGGCGCCGTGGACGTGGCTGCACATCTCAGGCTGCTTGGAGAGAGCCTGGCCATCATTGGAGAACGCCTTAAGGAACACGAGGTATAATTTTATTTATCTTTGTCCATTTAATTGAATTTGTTTAATTGGTTTTATCTGTGTTTGATTAATGTGACTGTTAATGTTATGCTGGACTGCCACCCAGTAGTCACGGGGTCGATTCCCGGGCCGGGAGAAATTGTATGGCCTACATTTATTTCTCTCGTGAGTTTGGGTGTAATTTGCGGTTGTCTATGTGTATGTCCGTGGCACCTGCGATACAGGGTTTCCCTAGTGTGGGGCTATGAGTGTGTGGGCGTTAAAAAAAATGTAATGAAAAAAGGTACGACATTATAATGATTACTAATTGCGTTATTGCCTTCTTCATTCTTATTTGGACAGTTGGCCTACTAGTATCTTGATCACTTTTTAACCGACTTCAAAAAAAAAGGAGTTTCTCAATTCGGCTGTATGTTTTTTTGTTGTGTATGTATGTTACGCGATAACTCCTGTATTTGTGAACCGATTTTCATGATTCTTTTTTTGTTGGAAAGATGGTACCTCCATAGTGGTCCCATTTCATTTTGAAGAAAATCATCCACCTCTAAGGGGGGCTGATCACGCATGAACATTCATTTTTGTAAATAGCGCCTAAATTTTACTTAAGGAGCAATTATTTTAATGGTTGGTTTTGCTATTCTCCAATTCAAGGCGTTTTTCTCTCTCAATATACTTTGAGTAGTGAGAACCGATCTTTATTATCTCCTGTGTCAAGTCCTGTATAATGGCGAACTAGGGGATATTTCAATAAAACTTGGCAAATAGATGTAATTCCACGTACCTTTGAGGTCGGTTTTATAGTACTCTGTACTGAGGTTATTATTCATATACATTTTAACAAGAATAGCTGGATTTGATTATATGTATATTGAATTAAAATGAAGAAACTTTAAAACATGTCTCCTCTTTGTATTTTTCATAAACATACTTCTTATGTAAATATATATTAACTTACAAAAATTGACAATTTAAATGAAACAGTCACAACATAAGACTACAAACGTACATAAGACTGCAGTACTAATTAATGTTTTAATTTATTCTAATTTCTATCATTACTTAATAATAAATATAAGTTAATACAAATTCATATTGTTAAAATAAAATAATTTATAAAACATAATGTAGCGTAAATTGGAACGTTCCTTTGTAAAGTTAAAAATAAGGTATTTAATTAATTAAATAACTTTTGTAATTATAGTGAAAAAATAGGGTGGTTTGCATTAATATTGGACATAACTGGTTGATGACTGTACCACCTCAGTCAACCGTGACCATGGGACCTGTAAAGGGCCCGAAACGTCGGTTTGTTTGAAAAAACAAATAAACGCAATTTAAATGAGGAAAAATAGTTTCATTTCCTAAATTTAAATGAAGTTGTGCTCAGTAATTGGATAAATAATGTGTCGAGGATGATTCAAATGAAACAAGTACGGCTATTTATTCCATAAGCATGACCAATGTTCAGTCGATAGTCGATGGAATATTTATCGACTGCAATCACTAGATTCTCGCAAGGTGTTGCCCAACACTATTGCGCAATTAATTGTCATTTTACACCCTCTTCAATAAAGACAGACTATAGCATTGTAAAAATAACCCTGTAAAAAATTTAACCTTTTATTTTCAGGGTCAAATAGCAGTGTCAGGCTCAGTATCGGTCTTGCTCGACACTCTTCTCTGTTCCCTGGCGCCGTTGGTTTGCGTGTGCGGTGCACTGCCCGCAATCGCTCCGCCGCAACGCCTTCTGCAGGACACGCTTCACAACATCGCTTATATCATGCCGGGATTGTAATATAATGGACAGAGTGGCGGATGGACCGATTTATAGACATTTACCACACTATTCGGACCAAATTAGCGTATAAGTGCGTCAGTTCTTGAAGATACCGCCTGTGAAATGAAATGGAATAGAACAGAACAGAAGTATATTATTTCAGACAATGATCCCTATGGATGTCATGTTAGTAATACAGTAATTTTTTCTTTCGTCCTGTGGTTAGCACAATACAAAATTTAAAGGGGCTCAAATGTTAAAAGGAGGCACTGGACTTTGTTCCTTCCGTTCTGAAGAGTTTACCCATAAAACCAACAAATGTAATTTTGGAAAAATACCATAAATAAACCTTAGTAAACCTGAACCCGTGAACCACGGGAAGAAATAATTGCCCATGGTCCATCCAGGTGAACCAACCAGGTGGTCCACGGGCAAGAAGTGAAAATACCGTAAACAAGTGGATAATTTTGTTTTAAGGAACTGAGTATACCTAGTATTGAGTCTTGTTTAATTTAAATTAAATATAAAATTATTTACCAATAAACCTAATGATGGAATTGCATTATCATGTAATCTAGTTACATTAAAAAAAATTTGACTCTTCAAAATATAGTGAACAAATGAAGATAGTCTTTAATCCAATGATTTCCAAAAATTCTTATTTTTTGTTTCATTTGTTGGTAAACTTTAAATAATAATAATAAATTCATAATTAATACATTAATAACTATAAATTAATAACTGAATATCGATAATATGCATCCTTACAAGACTATCACAAACAACACTATCTCAAAATAATCGTTAACAACAGTCATCAAAATATACAATACCATCAAGATATATAGATTTTAAGACTTTCGTGGTTATTCACTAAATTATTATCACTAGTATCAGGTTTCTTACCACTGGATGGCGTCCAGTCAACCCGTGACCATGGAGCGTGTAACCGTTCCGAAATATCGGGAAAATAAAAAGAAGTCATACCGTGGTAAGAAACCTGATACTAGTGATAACCATCAAAATATACAAACAAACAGGCAATCTGAAGTAACCGAAGCAAAATTTGGCCAGATTTATGAATAAATTACTTAAATAAGTCTAATTACGTGAGATATTTCGGCTATTGTGAAAATAACACATTGCAATGTAACGTTGTGTTGAAATATTTAGTAAGTCGTAAAACCAAGTATAGTTGTAAGGAAGACTATAATAAACTATTTACCTACTGTAAAGTACTTCCTGTAAAAGCAAAAGCTTAATATCTGGCCGCGATTGAAAACTATTATACAACTGAATTTAAAATTAATGTAACGAACAAGTATACTATAGTAACACTAGGCGAGTACGTGAAAATAAATATGTATGTCCAAGAGTAAATAACTATTATGGTAAAAGAGCAAATAGACATCTCTTGCCAATTATATTTAATAAATTCGTATTTTTGACAGGCAGAGAATTGTTAAGTAAATTCACATTGAAGAAAAAAATTAAAACTTATGCTTCTTGAGAGCGGTTTTGTTAAATGTACTCGTACTAGGTATACTATAGTTTTGTTATTGTGAGTGTAACCTCGCCAACAAACCGCTTTCGCGGTTTGGTGAGATATTATATTATGTTCTCTTGTATGCCTTGTTTGTATGAAATAAATAAATAAACAAAATTCGGTTGTTTTTCGCTTTTTCCAATAATGCCACATCCCTTACAGTAAAAATCACATCGTACCTTTAGAATGAAAGTGACCTAATTCAAAAATTTTACAAAATATATAATATACCGTAAAACGTCTTTAAAAATTATTGTCATATGGTTATTAATCTGGAACTGACACTTTAAAGCGCTCGAATGGCACAGATTCGCTATACCAGTCTTTTTCATTATATTTTAAATTCCACTTCCGCGTTGGTATGTGAACTGCAAATGTTGGGTTGTGCCGTTGGCATTGGGCCGTTTTTTCCGAAAATTATGCTGGAAATGCGGTTACGGTCAATGGATTACGCTATCGAGAGACGTTAACAACTGAATTTTGGCCTATTGTTGATGATATGGATATCACTAATACGTGGTTTCAAGTGCCACAAGTCACACAGCCACCGAAACAATGTATTTATTGCAAACCAAATTTCCCGATCGCATAATTTCACTAAATTGAGCCGTTAAGTGGCCAGCTCGATCATGTGATTTAACACCGCTAGAGTATTTTTTATGGTGTTATATTAAAGACAGAGTCTATACGGACCCAATCGAATCGATTGCAGCCTCAAAATTCGTGAAGCGATGAACATTTTGATGAAAGAATCGACATCTGTGACTGTGGTCGTGGTGGACATTTATCAGATATCATTTTTCATTCATAATTGCCAAACCTTTTTTTAATATAATAAAAATTTGAATCATTGTCATCTAAATTTATTAGGAAATGAAACTATTTTTCCGGATTTAAATCGCGTATATTTGTTTTTTCAAACAAACCAACGTTTCGGGCCCTTTACAGGTCCCATGGTCACGGTTGACTGATTTAAATCCGGAAAAATAGTTTCATTTCCTATGTGTAACAATCGCGAAAACCTAAGAACTCGATATCTAAATTTATTGTTTTATTTTGATTTACAAAACAAAGTTTTTGTTGAAAAACCTTATACAACACGTCACCACCGCTGGCGAAAAAATGACGAAGAAATGGACTTTCGTTCCGAAAATCAATAATTTGTGTACATTTTCCAGGACTAACAATGATATTACCTTAGTACTTTAAGCAGTGGCGGAGTTGCAGTCTTAGCCGCCCTAGGCCCCAGGCCATGTAGTCAGTACAAGTATCCGTTTAGTAGTTTTTGAGTTTATCACGATCAGACAGGCAGACGTAGTGATGTAGTGATTATACATTATAGACATGTACATGTCTATCATTATAGATATGTACATATGTATATTTTATACATCAAATGTACGAAAGCGATGTAGGAAGATTATTGTTATACGATGCGGTGCAGTGCAGCCCGCCATAATGTGCGAGAGCCTTGGTACTTTGAGTTATTTCTTTTTTTGTCACGATTGGCCGCCCTAGGCCCGGGTCTACTGGGCCTTAGGGCAAATCCGCCACTGACTTTCTAGAGTAATTAATTAAATAATGAGATGTGGACGCTCACACAGAAGACTGTGTATAGAATGAGAATCGCACAGAGTCAATGAATGAATGAAAGAGCCATGGAGCGAGTCATGCTCGGCATCAAACTTGTAGATCGAGTTCCGAAATCCGTAGACGGCACATCGAGGACATAGAGAGAGCGGATAACGAGTTTAGAGACGTGGTGAACACAGGAGTAAGGCGATAACCGAATGGTGACCAAGAAACGTGGTACGTCCTGTAGCGAGATGGGTAGACGACATTGTTAAAGTTGTTGATGGGTGAGATTAGCACAGGATCGTGGTGGCACTCATTGCTAGAGGCCTGTACTGATAATGGTGATTTTTTTTTTTTTTTTTTTTGATGTGATGATTATAAATTAATGTAAAAATGTCACAACTTTCTTATTTTGCGTTTTCCCAAAAAGTTAGAATTTTATATTGGATTGGATACTTTCATTTTAAAGGTAATCAACTTTGACACTAGTGTCGTATTCCAGAACTCTACTCAATGCTCAAATCAGGACTTGAGCAGACTTGAGTATGATTTCAAGCACTGGAAATACGACCCTAATGGCAAGGACTTGAGTATGATTTTCAGTGCTCACTGCAATACTCAAGTCCTGACTTGAGTATTGAATAGAGTTCTGGAATACGACCCTTAGTGCGTTTGTGCACTGCATCCGATTCATATTAGTTCCGAATCCGCGACTATACAAATCTAGAAAAATCGGACCCACTTCGGATGTCACTCGTTCACTAAGTCTGGGGGTCTACTCTCGATCTCCGTCCGAAACAATTACTGCCAAATCCCCTGATTTCCCCTGAGATCCCCTGATTCGAATTCGAAAAAACACGAATATCGCTAACCTATAGATAAAATAATCCCTGTGACATTTCGGACCGTCATTTCTCGGGTTCGGAGCTGATTCGGACGTAGTTCGCAAACGCTCGCTCTTAGGAACTTTGGTCCGTTTTTGCACCACAAGCGGCGTAGAGTTAAATTTAAATCTTAGGGCGCTCCCTCGCCTCGAACATTCACCTGTAATGTAACATTCAAGATTCGTTTTCGAGCATTACGTTACAAACTAGATACCTACTTCACCGACAAGCATTCGCCTGTAATGTAACATTCAAGATTCGTTTTTAAGCAATGCATTACAAACTACCTCATTCACTGACGAGCATTCGTCTGTAATGTAACATTCGATTCGGCTCCAAGATTCGATTAGGCTGCGATTCCACCAGAGATGTGCGAGTGCCCGCGAGTGTCTTTGAGTGCCCGCGAGAGCCAGGCGAGCGCCCGTGAGTGCCTTTGGCTTGTGCCTGCGCGTCACTGCGCCCAAGTAACGAAAAGCGACGCGCGAAACCGCTCTCTTTAACCACGCGTCGGCGCGCGATTCCATATTTGCATAACACAAATTTGTACCTTAATAATGGGAAAACAAAGATGAATATGCTATAGACGAAAAACATGACGCGTCCCGACGACGCTTCGACTCTACGCAAGTGTGAGTTGAGTACCAGCTAGTGCCTTTAAGTGCTCGCGAGTGCCTTTGAGCGTCTGAGTGCTCGCGAGTGCCAAAGGATCAAAGACACTTGCTGGCATTCAAAGGCAGTCGTGAGCACTTGCAGGCGTCTAACTTAAGTAAAGACTTGAAAACATTTCTACTATATCTGGTGGAGTCGCAGCCTTACAATCTGAACAGATTGTTATATTACAGGCGAATACTCCCGGTGAAAGAGGCTACCGAATATTACAAGTGTTTCGCAACGAATGCTCGGTTCTCCTCACTCACCGCTGTAATGCTCGCTTTTAAACTTACAATACAGGCGAATGCTGGCAGTGTAGAGCGTCCTTAAGGCCGGCGCAGACTGACGTCGCGGCACGGCACGGCATGTCGAAGCGAGTCGCGGCATGCCGAAGCGCGTTGCGGCATGCCGCGGCACATTCGCTGCGCGCCATTCGCCGAAATCGCCGCCGCACTAGTTTCAAACCTTATTTCAATTAGTTTAATTGTCATAATTCTGTGACCGACGTGACTTGCGGGACGTCTCTGGAATGAAACGGCATGCCACGACGTGCCGCGGTATAATTGTATCGAAATAAAATAATATGAATTTTAACCTCGATGAAATAAGGATAAAAATAACTTGATCAAAAATAAAATCCTTTGCCGTGCCGTGCCATGCCGCGACGTCATTCTGCGCCGGCCTTTAAAGTTCAATTTACGTTGCCGCGAAAAGTAATTGAAGCGAGTACTACCCCATAATAAACTCTGTCAATTATGTAACAAACAAACTAGATACCAGACGCTAGCGACTAACCCCAAGAATGCTTAAGAATTCTCTGGGCCTGTTTTTTTGTTCGTGTCTGTATGGTTTGGACGTTACATAAGCGAAGATGTTACGCGCTTCGTTAAAAAAAATCGATTCTAATCTGTAAATCGA